GGTGGTACTAATGCATTTATAGCTTGCGCACTTTATAGTCATCGTACAGCCCTGAAAGGCCATTTCTTCTTTAAACCTAAAAATAAAAATGGAATAAAAATCGCGTAAAAGGAGACGCTAGCGAGATTTTGCTTTGATATGGGATTTATAGTTCTAGCCGTAATTCAGTTAAACCAGTCTCAAGTTGACGTTTTCAGGGTTGGGTCATACAGACAAATTAATAAAATTTAAAGGAGTCAGAAAAGGGATTCAATCTTTAATAGGATTTCTATAAAGAGTATAAATACATATGACATACAAGTAATTTGAAACCGTTTTGTCACACAAATTACGAAGTAAAACAGTGACTTTACAGATTTAAATAATATAATAAAGCTAACACTGTTTCTGTATTCTTGAAGTAGGTACCTGAATTCAATAAATCGAGGTAGGTTCATGCATATGCGTTGGTATAAGAGCGTACAAAGAACTTTACGATCCCAGTGTTAGCGCTGGACGATCCGCTAGCGATAAAACTTACAACCGAATGTATCTACCTATTTTATCGAATAAATGCCAACTATGGAGATTCTCCACATTTTTCCTTGGGGCCGGGCGTTCTGAGTCACCGCTGTCCTTCACCTCGGCTCAACCGTTCTATATCCGCATTCAGAATTTTACCGACTAAAAGCCTCTCTCCCCAGTAGAGCTTATTCACGTTATATTTAAATTCATTCACATGCCACGGACGTAAATAAGACGATTCTTGGATGAAGGTCTTTAGTATTTATTTATTTCTGGTTTCAACCATAAATGTGAATATATGTACCTACATTATAACAGACTGAAAAATTTTCTGCCTTAGAGCAAATAATAATTTATGCTTAAGTGATGCTGGTATAAACAAAAACAATACAATAATAGATACAATGTGTGTTTTCTAACAATCCTATTATTACGTTTATACATACAATACTTCTACACAGTATAATATTTATATCAATAAACATAACCACAAATAATAAAAGGTATTGACAGATAAAAAAACTTTCAGTAACGCAAACTAACATTAGTAACATTTTTTATGAGTAAAAGATCACCATGATCATTAAGTTGCTAAAGTTTCCATGTGTGGCTTTTTAAAATCTAAACACAATATTATAAAATTAAATCAATCATGAAACAAAGCAACATAAAACTATCTACGTCATGAATTTCTTTGAAATTACAATTTTCTTTTAATACAAGATATTACGTTCTGTAAACTCAACGAATCCCACAAGTCATTTTCATAACAAAACCACAGCAATACTATTAAACTTTCTCTGTGAAGTAAAAGATACTAATATCAGAAATGTTGCAGATGGCTCACAATAATTTACAACGGTTATATGAACTGTTTATTCTAAAAAGATAAGTTAAAACTCGCCGTCCAAACTATGTCAATAATGATATAATCAATGTCGTCATTGTTGACTACATAAAAACTCAAGGGCGAATAGTAAATCTAAATAGCACAGGGAAAATTCATGGTCATTAACAATAAACATGTAGAGAATGTCGTAGGTCCTCGCATGTTGTCATATTATGTCCCATAAACATAATAATAATGAGTTTATTCACTTTAACCTTGTAGTAACACTCCAGTTTGTATCGTGAATTGACAAATAAATTCGACCGCATTTTAATTGTTATTAGTTATTCGCATGTTTTGTAGATAATGATATCAGATTAGGAACTGTTCTGAATATCATAAAGAGAAGGACGACGACAAACATACTTAAGGTGAATTTTGATTAATCAACTGTAGCATATTATAGACTGATAATTGATCCATAACAACCGTTCAAGTTAGAGTCAGACTCTCTAACCAAAGTTTATACATATATAGTATTATATTATGTATATAAAATAATACTTAATAAAAAGCATATTTTATTAGTTTTAACAATGAAACTACAACAGACGAATAGTTATCATATTAAATTGTAATAGCACAAACGTATGCTATAACACAAGTGGAACGTACATCATAAAATAAGGATGTCACGTTCATTTGTTAATTGAGTTCCACCTTTTCATACGCTTAGTAGGAATGGGTGACACCTTTAAACACCTTAGACTTTTTTTTTTCAATCCGATAACTATATATCATTTACAGGAAATAAGTAGCTATCGGTAGAATCCCGTGTCTTGTTTTATAGAGGAACAGTAAATCATTCCGATATGTGGATGAATATAATAAAAAAAAATTCACATAACATATTATACTATCTATAATAATATAATAAAAATATATATTATGTAAATTTAAATTACTTTTTATTAGATTTTTTTATTAGATGTTAAAATGCATTAGTCCTCCGAGATACAACGGAGTCAAATGTATATTCAGCATATTGCTGCATGTGTTTTGCAAGGCATGCATAACAACAACATTCGAAAGTGTGTCAAGATTGCAATAGTAACATGCACTCATCGCGATACGAATACGCTGCACAAAGCGGGAAATGCAACACATCAAAAACATTACGCTAAGTAGATCTTTTGTATACACATAGCCAAAATATGGATTAAATGAAACTTTACGCTAAAATCTTTCATCTGTTATACTACTGGAATGGCAAACACATCATGTGTTACTGTTGGTAAGGACTAAAATGTTAGGTATATTATGAGTAAACCATCAAAAATAGACATCTTGGTTAATAGTGCCGAATATAAACATTCGTTTAATCATTCTCTATACAATGCGAGCATAAAAAAAGCATGTGTTAAATAAATCTAAATGTACTATAAATCTGGGTATGGGGTAATAAAAATGCAAATATCGATCATAACTGACCAGACATTATACTGTCTATCCTGGCGGGATGCCGCCACCCATTCTATTCATATTTTTGAAGGGGACCACGGAATGTGCTGAATATCCATTTGGGTTTCGCTTTATTTTACGCTGCCGTCCAATGTCCGGCGTCAGGACATAACGAGGATGATATAGGATTAAACGGAACATTTATGATAAAAGTAAATTAACTAAAACACAATTTAATACCGAAGTTATTTTTCTGCTTTATGAACAGACATGAGAACTAATCTTATATTAGAATCTAGAAGCTTATTGTTTCCTAATTCGTACGTACAGCCCACACACCTTTTACTCATCAAGTCAGATAAAAATAGCAAAGAGCATGTGATTAATGGCACATGTAATGTTAATTTCTTTGAAAGTTGTACGCTAACGATATAGGAAATGAGATGTAATTTCAGAAAAAATCCAATCATGGTATTTATCATTAAAATTAAAGGAGCAAAAAACAGCAAACCATTAGTACTTACAGTAGTACGTCAGTGAGGACAAAAAGTTGAACTAAGATTCGTCATACTCAAGAGTATGCCGTGTATGCTGTATCTACCGCACATTGCTTTGCTTTAGAAATAATGTAATTATCTTTTCTTTATCTTTATCATATAATAAATTCTATTTAAAATGCGCAATCATAATCATTGCATGTCATTGAGGTACACGTATTCCATTCCATTTCGGAGTTTAATTTTAAAAGAATAATGTAAAATTCAGTAACAGAGCAAGTAAGATAATATTTAAACGAGAACGTACTTAGTAGAGAAATTTACATAAGGTTCTGAATTGAAACAAATACTGGAGCTAGAATTTAATCTAAGAATATGGTGAGATAAGAAAAAGAAACTACAATAATTACATTATTCAATTATACATAACAATCGTTGTACATAACGAAGAATTCAGAAATAATTAAAAACATCTGTACATTTCGTATCAATTCCCAGAAAGCTTTAAACATGATTTATTAATTTAAATAATATATGTTATAGTACTAGGTTTACGGTCTCCCAAAGTCTCAAAGGATGATAGTATAACAAAATGCAACATGAAGTCTAATAAAGTAATATTAGTGAATATTACACTTCGTATCTATTGCTTTGTGAATATAATAAACCGGTTTCTAGTTTATTCGTATTCTGACCTCAAGACTTGGTGCCGGACGTCGCTCCAACTACGCGGTAATACAGCACGCAAACGAATTACACGAACGGGTGAATGTTCTTTTGTAACCATGTTACAAATGTCGTGACACTCGACTGATATTACGCAAGGGTCTTAATTTAATAATCTCAATCAAATCGGTTTCAATAACGCCTTCATAAGTAAATTGCTAGTAACTTGAAAGCGAAATCCTATACCGCTCAGTCACGACTTCATCAATGCCCTATTACCTAGACATGGAAATAGCACAAGCACAAATGCGACTGCATCAATTCCGCAATATAAGCAGGAAAAAACTAATTGTTTATTTCACGACAGTATTCCTTTTTTATATTATAAAGAAAATCATATTGTCAGCAAGGTTTCTTATTAACTAGCAGACCCCATGAATTCGTATTCGTAAAACTTAAATATTTGTTTGTAAACCGATTAGAATGAAACAAACACCAAATTTAAAATGAAGATTACTATATTACATTTGAAAAAGCCGCACTCAAATTGGTTAGAGCGATTCTCAGATTAGCGCAAATAAGCGCACAGACAAACAGTAAAAAGTTCTAACAATCATTGTTTGGACACAATTTATAAAGTTGAAGATTCCAAAAAATCTTTTTTCTCATACAATTTATAATTTTTATTGTATATTGTTCATATTTCTATTACAGCAAAAGGAAAATTTATTACAGAGGGACCTCTTCTTGATAAAACAAATAGTCTTAATAGAATCCATTGTGGATAGTTCTTTCCCATTTCAAAGGCTCAGCAGCAGATAAACAGACGTGAACACGACTGCACGGACAATGATTGATGCTACATACACACACGAAACGCGACATTTATCTACAACAAAGCTTTGTAACTCTTACGGTTTATCTTAGGATGTAACTTTATACGATAATATGCCACATAGGTTGGTTACTTGCTATAACAAGATTACCTCTTAATTTAGAAAACTCAGAGTACTTAACTATATTAATTTTATATAAAATCTTACCTTCAAGTAGGATCCGAAATATTTAGTGACATATGGACTATCACACTGTGATAGCACCATAATCTCCTGTTGAATGTCTTCGATTTCATCTTCAGCTTCCTCAAGGTCTATAATCTTTATTGCGACCACTTGCTGTGTTCTGTTATCTACACCTTTGAACACTTCACCGAAGGAACCCTTGCCGATCTTCTCTTGTTTCGTGAAGATCAGCTCGGGATCGACCTTCTGCAAAAGAAGAAAAATTATTGGTGAATATTCTTGCTAATTAAAACCTAATCTATACATACGTAAATATTTTTTTGTAGCCATAGTAGAACATGTGTCTATAGAAATTACTATATGAATATAAGACAATAAACTAAATGTGTTTTTATATTCAAGCAAAAATTTCTAAAACCAATTTGATACATTATGAGTACATAACAATATTAAGATATCATTTATGGAATAAAACATTTAAACAGCTTATTTATACGCAAATATAATGTTCAAAGCGTAGATTGATTATTCATGGCATGTCATTAAATATTCATACACACGCCTCGGATAGGCTGAAGAATTGCCATTTCATATTTTAAGAATCGTTGCGTTTCATTTACTACTAAGGTATCTGGGTAGATATCCTTTGTATTTTAAGATCACAAGAAACCATTACAAAATAAGTAAACAGATTTGTTCAAGTGGTCGCATTTTAAAATATTTCAACATAGAGCATTTTTCTGCTTTCCAATTCCTAATTTCCTTTTTATACGTCTGGAATGGCAAACAGTCTGACGTCGCACCTAACAGTGGTAACCGCCTGTGAATGCTTTTTCTTAAACACAGCTGAGCAAATATGTATTATATTACATATTCTGCTCTTTTGTCACAGGTAGACTTGTTAAACGCCACAGTAGAAAAACTTAATGAAATATTCGTATCGCAAATAGAATTACCGGTATTTGGATTCAATCTTATAACTAAAATAATGTGTTTGTGTTAAATAATTTATCCACTCCATACTCTATAACTATTATGTAAACTGTAAACCACATTCATAATATTTAAAGGAAATGAGTTATAATAATTAACAATGAATGCAGACCTCATTAAGTTTCAGAGAGGATATTACAATATTAAGAATCAAATATCCTCACCGTTGCTTCTCAATACATTTATGAAAATATCATATATGCCAGGAAAAATATAGACAGTTTCAAAAGAGTTAGTGATTGCACCAATAAAAGCTTACGTAACAATAACAAACTGATTTTACCTAAATGTCGTTTGGCTAAAGTTAGTAATTCGTTTTATGGCAATTGCATAAGGTTTTACAATAAAATACCAGAGTCGGTTATTAATCTGCCTGAAAAAAGATTTAAATGTTAAATAAAACAGTTCCTTTGCAAAAAAGCTTACCATAAAATTGAAGAATTCGTTAACGATAATAATGTTTTTATAGAAAAACTTTAAATCCATAAGATAAGACAATATTATCTCTGATTACACTAATAATGAGTGCGTAGCGATTTCTATGTTGATTATCGCATGCCTCTTACTTGTTATACTGTAATTATTTATATATAAAAAATATCTATTAAAAAGAGCAACACACAAGTTTCTTGCTCATTCTTCTTGTGATGAATCTGCATTCCGAATGAGTGGTAGAATCAAAATATGACTATTCAAAAGTGCTTGTAATGAGTTTATTTGAATAAAGATTATTTCTTTTTCTAAGAATTAAGTAAAATATGAGGATAAATGGCCTTTACATCTTACAAAGGCCTTTAAAGTTGATGACTATAAAAGCAGTAAATTTGCCTTCTCGAGTATAAGGTTTAAGACCATATCCATTAAGTAAGAAAAGTGAAAAAATTTTCTGTTTCAAAATAATGTGCGTTATCCTTACTAATATTATAAATGCGAAAGTAACTCTGTCTGTCTGTTTGTCTGTCTCGCTTTCACGCCAAAACTACTGATAGAAGGGTTATATAATAATATAATATTTTTTTTTTCATTATTTGGTCAAGATCACTATTTTCGCGGACGAAGTCGCGGGTACAGCTAGTTGGTTATATCTACTAAAAAGATGAGGCATAAATTTATATCACATCACGACTTACTTACCGATTTTAAACCGATAACAAGTAATAGACTTTATTTATATTAGTATTATTTTATTTTCAACAATTTATTTTAACACAAACCGAAACAAAATGTTTATATCAAATTTAAAATCGTAACATATATTTTAAATTATAGTTTATATTTGCAGTAAATCATAATTATTCATATTTTTTTTAATCAAGACGCATTATCTGTTTAAGGAATTTTATCGATTCTATCAGAAGTAAGGATTAAGCTAAGAATTGTTGGGGTAATCCTAGTTATCAAACTACTTTTGTAACAAAATATTATAAACATAGTAGTAAAAATTTGCATACATTATTACTCTTTTATTGCCCTAACTACTTTTATTAGTGTTAATCTAGGAACATAAATAACATTCAGTACCTATGTATTGAATAATTAAGACTCAATATTGACTTACAATATATGTAACAATAAATAATATAATAAATAAATACTCTAGACAATTTACACAACGCCATCTAGTCTCACGGTAAGCAGACCTTGTGTTATAGGTACTGATATAAACACTCAGTTTTTTTGTAATTAGATACATAATATACATAGATAACAGCAAGACCGATACAAAATATCATACTCATGAATAGAAGTGTTTGCACCGTTCGAAGAATAGAACCCACGACCATCGGAAGCAACGTGGTGAGCTAAACCGCTAGATCACCAAGATCATAAAATACACCGCCGGCCACCAATAATTCTACAATACCGGCCGTCAAAAATAATATTTGTAGAGTATTCAGTATGCATGCGTGAGTTAAAAAAAACTCTTTGAACGAATTTAATAGGTTTTGGTTTATATATGGTTCCATAGATATATATGTATGTTTAAGGGTGTATATATTATATTAATTCGTGAAGTACAAGTAAAGTAAAAACATTGTACCCCTTTTTAAAAAATAGCGCAGACGGACTAGTACGAAATAGTTCGCATGCTTATTGTTTATATACATAGATGCTAATATATATATATATATATATATATATATATATATATATATATATATATATATATATTCTGCAGAATCACCCTAAATTCATAAATAAAACATTACAAACAATTCCATTATATTACGCGACTGATAAGAATACGTAAATGTCAAATAATTTCAATTGTCAAAATAGTGAATTAGGGGTTGTTTCTGTGCTATTATTAAACTACTTAATCAAAATATTAATACATGAAACAAGTCTTTGCCGTTTAGTTAAAATATGAATTCATAATTTAAGATATTTTTTAAGAGGCATATTTTGTAAATATATCTTTTTATTAATTATGAATAAATGAACATACAACTGTATAAAAATATAATTAATAAAAATATTTTATGTTAATTGATTTAGGTAGTATTGTACTTTATTGGTTTTTAAGTGTTATTTATAAAACACTAATTCCGTTATAAAGGTACGCTAATTAATGTTTAGTAAATATGCAACTAAAAGTAAAACGGAACGCAGAAAGGTTAATAGTTCCGTAGTTTTTCTATATTTATCAAGTCATACCTACAGAACAGGAAATATTCTTATCGATATATTACCGACACATGAAGAATCCACGACCTCCGCCATTTGCCAGACATTGCGCCAAGTGTCAAGGTTCCGCACGAGCGAGATGCAGCAGAATGGTTTGCTACGTGATATATTTACTTAAACACGAACTATTTCTGTGCAAGTAGTATACATTATACCTACCTAATTTTATACTGTATACAGTATAAAATTAGTTAGATATATAGTTTTTCGTCAATAAAATATTTACATTTTATTTAAACTTACTCCAAAAATATGCGAATATGTTAATGTTTGATTATATTAATACAATAAAATAAGTTATATAAAAATATAACTTATTTTATTGTATTAATATAAATATAGAGTTTAATACTCATATAAATGGTTTGTCATAATAACTATTATTAGTAATTATTTTGTATTTTGGGAATCGGTTGAATAACAATGTGATCAGTTGCCGATCAACGGAAGCTTTACAAATTTTCCGGTCCAGCGAAACCAAGCAACCTTATAGCCGCAGACCTTTATTTTATAGCGTTTTTATTTCCTTAACTTGCACGTACCGTTCGTTTCATACATAACAAAGCCATTTAGCCGTTCGTGATTGTAGACGCAATGGGAATCCAAATATCGATATAAATTGTACGATAAGAGAGTTTAACGAAGTTGCTCGTTCGCTATTCCGAAGGGTATATACCTAACATATCTTAAAGTTTCAATAACATGGCTGTTTAATTAGATTGAACCTAACTTTAATACAATATGTCCAAATAGTTAGGATAGTTAATTTGTAGTAGAACGGAAAGATATGTTGGAGGATAGTGATCTTTTAAACACAAACGACTCAGGTAAAAGTTTTTATTGAAAATGAAGACTTTCATGCTAAATAGATTTTAGTGAAAGTACCATAGTTTCCCGACTACGATAAGTTGAGCACGTGGATCGTTTTATCCGGATAGAGCTAGCACGAGACATAGTTGGTACAAGACGTGACCAGACTCCAAATGAGAGAAGCTTGCGCGCATATTGAGACGTAAATCTCAAATGTTTTTAATCTAGCGTTGCAAGTAGGTTATTTTTACGTATCAACGTAGTAACAAAATATTTTACAAACAATTCAAGAGTTTTTCTTCGTCGTAGCAGTACATGGTAACACACCATGTACTGATACTATTTTTCTTTACTACTTTTACTACTACCTTTTGTACTACTTTTTTTTAGAACCTTAACATAAAACTTGTTTTGAAATTGATGCTTTTGACACGAAGAAGTTGCTTGAGATGTTAAATGTTTATATATTCTTTAAGCGATAGTTGAGTTTTATATAAATAACCAAGGTAGATATCGCGTCATGTCTATTCCAAGGATCACAGTTATTTTGGTGTAAGTATATATTCATTATAAAAGAAAGAGTATTATATGACATCTAACAATAATATTAATAACATAAAAAAACGTTATTTACATGATATATTGAAAGACGAAGTGACGGTTACTATGTGCTAAACAAAATACTTTTAATTATACAAATAACTTATTGTAGTACAAGAGAACAACAGAAAAATGCTATAGAGGCAACCCAAGAATACCGTCTTATGCAGTCGATAATAACTCCCTCTAAACGAACAGACAACAAAGAAGATACAGATACAGAAGCAGAATTAATAGACATGGCTTACTTACCATTACCAGGGCCGTCGACTTGTAATATATTCGAATTATATAAAAAAATACAACCTAAGATAACAATGATATTGATACACTTAGAAATTAATATCAGGTATTCATATTTTTGGTAGACGGTTAGAATATTTACCATTCGTATATACAAATTCCTACCCTATTTGTAAATTATATTTTATTAACGTTTAATTCAGACAAATAGTTACCTATTCCTCTTTTAGAAAATAATTTTACGACGCGTCTAATTCTGTAGCAAACGCGGGATAATAAGGTTGAAAAGGACGTAACGTCATTATTTTCTCTTAAAATTCCACCCAAAAAGGCCAGGGAGGTGAAGTGATAAAGCGAAGGGCTCATCGCGTGAACAAAACGGCTTATTGAGTTTGGTAGGCCAATTTTACACGCGAAGCCCTAAAGTCGAGAACAATTTCACAGGCGATGTAAAACTGATTTCAGCACAACCAATTTTATGGTAAAAGGTCAAGCAAACAGGATATTTATAAATCTCTGGTAGGTACACTTAATATTACGAGCAGTACAATAGGCTGTAATATGACTTAAGATTTATTACCTTTACGTTTAAAAATGCTATTGAGAAATATGAATGTGTAATGATGACATGTTTTCTATGCGTTTACCAATGCATTCTTCGATACACTAGAAGCATCTTATCTACATACACTAGAAATAGGCAAAAATAAGAGGATAAATACCTATCTCACAATTAAAATTTTCTCTAAGGTAAAAATATTTTTAATGTAAGAGAATTATTTGAATTAATGTCAATGGCAACTCATCTAAACTTTTCTATTAACACAGAAACTTTTTTAAAGATCAAATTTATGCGAAAAGTTATAGCAAATTAAAAATTCTTAAGATAGCCATGAAAAAAATAATTTAACACTTAAAATTCTCTAGAGGGTTGGTGTCGTATAAAATGATAATACTGAACAAACTACTTTGATTATATCGATGTGCCGTAAAATACTAATGACATATCGATTGTAAACTGAATCGCAAATATTAGTCACTTGTCACCGATATTGTTGCTTACTAACAATAAAATTCACACAATAAACAGACTGACATTTTAGTCGCGTCTATCTCGCTGGGGACATAAAAATTACAGTCACGGAATTCAATTAGAATGGTTATAAAGCAATTTGTTTATTGCATACAATAATTTTTCAAGAGTGTTTCATGTCAGTCCGATTATTTTACTATAATAGTTATAAAATAACTAAAATAAGGTACATATTCAGTGCTTTTTTCTAAATATGAAACAATACCTTTTGTCTGTTTGAATGTCATCATAACATATGCAATCTAATGAACAAGAGATATATTATAGATATGTATAATAAAATAAGAATTAATTCACATAAAAATGAAATAAATTACCTAAAAAATCATATTTAATTAAAACCTTAATTCTTATCAAAAGATTGTAGCCTTATCAATCTAGGTTCGAGACTGTTTAGGCCTATATATATGTACTTAATTAATATTACGTAAATGAAGTTACTATCATTTTCAATACTTAAATAAGTTTGAAAATGGATTAAAAATAATTTGTTTTGTACTTTACATTTACTATGTGAAGTGACGTTTGTATCCGTTAATCCGTTTATGATAAACTCTTAGATAGTAGAGCCACATTAATTTCCTAAGTGATAATCGACGTTTCAATAAATACTAGTGTCAAAAAAATCGCAATCACGGTAATCGTCGGCAAAATAAAAGATATATAAATAGGATACAATATATTAGCAAACTATAATGCTACTGAAGCTAAGTGGAGGACTGTACTCGTATGTAGATGTTAGCATTTGTAAAAAACTTCATACATCAATAGATAAATACAGGATTGAACGCTGATTCCAGCTACTGGTAAGAACTACGCATTGAGTGTGAGAGAAGCGAGCCTAACTTGTAATAATTTAGGAGAATGACCTAAGGAAGAAACAACCATCTTCATATCCTGGAAAGTAAAAAAAATTACCAGTACATTATTCTTATGTGATGTAAATTTATTTTCTTCAGGATATTCAAAGAAATCTCAAAGACAAAAGGGAAAAGCTTGTTATAATTATATCTGAGTATTGGTTTAATGATATATAAGGATTTTAGAAATTTAGGCTAAATATAAATAAGCATCATCACTATCATTTCAATCATTGGTATACCTACATAAACATTGCAGTTAACATATCCTTCTTAGAAATGTATATATATGGATTCATGAATAAAAATAAAAAAATCGCTAATTAAAAAAAACGATACACGTTGTCTCTAAATTAAATCCGTTGCAACTACTTGACTTAACACTCTGTGATACAACTAACATTATTGGGTTCAGTCGCCTTGGCGTTAACTCGCACACCGTAAAGAGAACAACCTCGGTTACGAATACATTTACTATTCATTAGATACCCTATATAGGAAACCAACTCACTCCATCGTCCCTATAAAAGGGCTATTGGCATGTATTCAACAAGAAAACGATTTTTCTTAGACCGGTAAGAGTTACGTAAATAAATAAACATAGACATTCTAGTGATAGATAGGAAAGTAAGTCAAAGTATGTAAGTATTACATAATATGGCTCCATTTAGATTTTACATGAATAATATTAATGGGATAATCCCTTGTGTATGAGAATACTTATAAAAGTACAATTAACAAAATTGATTTATGGTAACGCGCATTTTACAAACATTTAGTAGCTTTTATTTATATTCTTTTGTGAAATATTTAAACTATATTTAGATGGTTTTCTTCCACCGATTTACCCAGAATTAGAAATGCTGTATATAAAATGTAATAATAGCCTGGTATAATTATGTAGCCGGAAGATGACTATAGTACTTTATATATTGTAGCTATATATATTTAAAGATTGATGCTTAAAATTAAAAAAGAACACTACATCTTGGTACTTCATATATGTGAGATCTAAATACATTTTGTATCTAGTCGATACATAATAATCACCCACCACCTATGGTGAACATTAGAGAAACCTGCAGTCGTGTCGAATAACGCGTACATAGTCGATATCGGACATGCATTGCGAGAGACGAGGAAATAAATTGCAAGAACTGCCGCTCACGCACATAGTCAGGATGTGAAACTACTAAACACCTTATAGTTAAGTACTTTACTCAGTTAATTGAGTTGTATGACAATTATGATATCCAATGCAATAACATTACTGTTATTTTTTTAAATATTCCATGCATGTATGTGTATTCTAGGTATTATTTCGTGTATACCTAATAATATATTTTTAATTATATACATTTTAAATATTTTTTTCTGTACCTCAATTATCTACTTCCTTTTGACAAAATTGCAATAGCATATGCTGGTGGTCAATCTATTCTCCCAAATTTGCATTTAGTAATTAATCTGTATTATTGCAAACATGTCCAATATTGTACAAACTCATTTGAAAAGAGCTGAGTTTCTTGTCAGTTCTTCACAGCTCGAAAGCACTCCGAACTGACGGTATATTTGACAAATCATAAGAGTATGTAATACGTACATGAATAAAGATATTTTGATTTGATTTGACAACTTCTTTCATTTACAGCTTTCTGTCAACTATGTCGCAAATAGTAATGTACTTTGAGCTTCTTTATCTAGGAAGGCAAGGTCACCAAGCAACTGCAAATCTTACCCTCGACATTGTAATTTGTACGTACTTAATACACAAGTTGTCTTGTTTAAGGTACAGCTATTATTTAACCCTTTACCGCTGTTTACAGAATCCTACTCTTAAATGCCCTTAACATATATTTGAACTTACATTGGTGCCAACGTGTCTATTCTGTGATGGACGAACGGGCGCAGGGCGCGCAGGTTCAGGTGGCACTTTTAGCTGCCTTCGGTCAAAAGAAGACACATGGCTACCAGCCCAACTCCATCGACCTGGCCCGTTACTCCCATGAGGCAAAGAGTACGACGATTGCGGTCTCAAATGTCTATGGTTAGGAGGTGGCAATAAAACGTTACCACTCGGCGTTCCCTGAGGAATAGCACCTGGTGGACCCTGAATGTAATGATAACGCGGTGGATTAGACACTGCTGCTCCCCACATGATACTAAACACTATTAAACACACACAATCACAACACAACACTGATTACTTCATCACATCGATTATAATTGCTCACAGATATTGATCGACATTCCGTCTGGTGTTATCGCCGAAAATGATAATTGAAATACTTTATGCGAATTCTGCTCACTGTTTAGATAACGTAATTAAACCTAATCGGCTACCAGTCCGTTGCGAGCGATCCAGGCCACTGTTCGCGATGGAAAGACAGCTTGAAAACATGAACGCCTCGAAAGCAACCGTCACCGGACGCAACCGAGACGCGTAAAGAATTAATTTATATTTGATGGACGAATGTTTCTATGAAAAAGGTAATGTGCTTTGTGTTATTTGAACATTTGGCTACTGCGCTAAATTACTTTTATATTTCGGTCAACAAAAACACAACTACAAAAGAGTACACTCGACCATAAGTTAAATGATGGCAAAAAAATATAAATACACTTCTAAGTGCAAATACATCTTTTTTCTTTCTAAAAAAATATGAATAATAAATGATCTATATAAAACAATAGACCCCACTGATACTAAATCTAAACATTAGATGCATGGACACGAAAAAGTTCATATGACTGAACATCAACGTCCAATAGCACCTTTAACATCGGATCGCGACCGACCAACGTGGGGAAATTATACACTGATAATTTCCACTCCAACAGGCAACTCGAGAGAAATCTGTTTCCCGACACTATTAATCCATAGTGATGGACGGCGTCTGAATATCAACGCATTTGAATGTACACTGGTTGCGTGTTGCCAATGGTAGCCTAGCGTAGCACGCCGACTGCCCTGGCGATTGCATTATGATTTTTTCGCAAGGGACCGCGGGGGCGAAGCGGGTGTGCGGGAAACGACCAGCGCCAGCGAAGCGTGCATCAGCCGCTGCTTGGTCGGTGCAACGCAGCGAAACTTGCGTACTCAACCTCCAGTGGTGCATATTCATATCATTGCCATCTGTAAGTGACTTATCACGATATATATAAATACACTCAGAGTAGAGGGTGAAAATTACCAAGGAATTAATTGAACTGCACAATTTTTTCATAAATTTAAAACTGCATATAAAGAGCGAAAGTAACAAGGTCATTTAATAATAACCACAAAAATGCAACTAAAAGTGTATCAAAGTGAGAGTTCTTATTACGTCTGACGGTCTAATGTTAATGTTTTGTTAGAAACATATCGCCAGTATCAATAGCTGTCAAGAGACGGCATGGTAAAAAAATTTCATTCGTGGCGCTATAGTCAATCTGTCAAAAGAACGTTCCAGTTAGCGAACGCGAAAGTCAGAGCAAGACAAAGGCGTTACAAAACTTTCGTTAGGCCACGACGGCGAACGTCTGAGTTCGGACACAATAGAAGGTATTAGTATTCCGAATACACACTCCTTCAGCAATAGAAACAGGGTTGACTGTACCGAGGAGTCACCGCCCGCATAACCGTGCAGTGAATACAATTCCTTCTGAACTAGAGGAATGCCGTACGGCCACATTATCGCTACCAAACCACGCATCGCCATAATCGCCCGACATTGGGCAATGCGGTCCACATACATTATTTGGCTTAGATACCGTTAGGCCCTGTTGTAGGACTGTAATGTATTCCAAGTAAAAACAATGCCAGAGAATAATATGCCGCACAGATTTCCTATATAATTAGTATTGCAATTAGATAAGTCGGAAAAGAAAACCGTTGTTAGATGACAGAAACGATGCAACCGTAAATAGTGTCAACAGGTGTGCTACCTTGCGTGGGCTTCACATAGGAATTCTACGTGGCATGCCTGGCTTGCCTTTTGTTCCGCATTCTGAGCAATATATAAGGCAAGAGACACAGAAATATATAAATAGACACAAAATTATATAAAGTATAGTGAGAAATTGAGAATAATATTGGAAAAGAATAATTGTTAACATAAAAATAACCAACAATCAACGGGTGTTATAAGCCATCCAACCGACAGACAGCAATGCCTACGCGTGACTAAAATCGACGAGTCAAACAATGTATTTTAAAAACTGGTACAATTTGTACGTATTTAGGAACAATGATCGTTCATTTAAACCCACTAAACAAAAATGAGCTCAACACAAAATAGGTACTGTCCAAAATTGAATTTATTTGAATAAATTTTACATATTCAAGTAAGGCATAACTACGACATGAGTCTATTAGTAGTTATATATGTGAATGAAATCACCCAGTTACTTGGTATTAAAAAAAAGTGATAAGCAACGTTATCGTGATACATAACATCCCAAAAATATTAGATAAGCCATAGCGAAAATAACAAGACGCACAAAGAAACGTAACAAGGTTAAACTACTTACAAACCAGTAGAATACAACGAGACAGAGATAGAAATAACAATTCACGTGCATTTAAAAAGTACTAGCACTATGAACAATCCAAATGTGCGATGTTACGATACAGTATCTTACAATTTACTTAGGGCATTCGCTATCATCTTGATTGTTTTTGTCTATCAGAAATTAACATAATATGAAAGATTTCCTTATAAATCGTACAACATGGTAGTTTGGAAACGCTTCGGTACGGTTAACAACATAAATCGTTTGAGAGCACCGGCTCTAGAATTTGCACCGATTTAGTTTTCACTGTTCATGGCGCTAAACCCAGTTCTATTTATTCACAATGTGCACAGTATTCACATTGTCCGCCAGTGAAAATACATGTCTATAACATATCTCTTCTGTGTACATCCTTTTGACACTATACGAAAACAGATTTGTAAAGATTTTAAGAGTTCTCGCTCTCTTATGAAATAGATGGTAAAAAATACACAAATCAAACAGATGTAAAATAATCACACCGTAAAATATATCAAGCAAGATGTAAACGCATTTACTAAAATAAGAAATGTAAAGAATTAAATTTTAAAAAATCGTTATTTCACATAACAAATTAAAAATATATATAATATAATCAAAGTTACTCATTCATTTATTACATCATCAAATTGGCAACAATAACGTTGGTCATTCTTCAATATATAATATTTTTTATTCATATTCTATAAAAATATCATGCAATAACTTGACCAATTGTGTAAACTTCTATCACATTAAACTTTTTATTCAAGCTTTTACGAGGAGGAACTTCCAAATGTCATAGGGAAAATATTTTATGAATAATAAAATACAGTTGATGTGCTTTAATACCTTACAAACACCTTATTTGAATACCAGAAGTACAGAGTACCTGGGCATATTATTATACCGAGATACTATGTATTTATGACACATCGGAAACGCTTTAAGCAAACCGGCGAAACCATAAAAGCGCTATATCCGAACGGTACAAAACAATGCGATGCTATTTCGTGAAACACTTTCATTTACAGAAAATTTTCAAATAATCGTATATATTTGGATGTATTTTAAATAAAGTTTAAAATACAAGCAAACATGTGCGAGTACATACAAAGAAACAGACACGAGAACGTACACGAGAAACAGTTATATATATAGATATAAATAAAATATTAAACATTGGTGACACTTTAAAAATACGCGAAATATTGTCGATAGATACTACTAGTTACAAACTTTGCAGCTATTATGAACGCTGAAATCTATGGCAGACGTAAAAAGATAAAATATGTAACGTTTTTTTCAAAATATAATACTATCCTGGAAAAACGTACAGTTTCAGATACAGGTCCACCTGGAGGATTATGTAAATAATTTAATCACATTTCAATTTAAGTATTCGTAGTGATATCAAAGCTAATATTTTATAAACGATTAAAAGAGAAAAGTTTCTACAAGTTTCCAAATAAAAAAAAACTTGTATTCTATCCATTCTGTTGAAACCACGCATCTTTAAGAATTCATCAGTTTATGAATAAACTTTGTAGTTTGTATGACAGTTCCCTCATCTGGGATGCAAGTGGAATAACAGGTTATGTGAGTTACATGAAAACTTTCAGCGCAGTTTAGTCAAAATGTCGAGGGTGGTATACATCAGGCGTTTTATTTTACCCCGCTGGAACATTAAAAGTAAAATTGTGTCACGCTGTTTATTACACTATTTTACGATCTGAGTGTTCGTACTAGAGTAATAGTTGGATGTCTGCTTCATGACTTCGCTTGTAATCGCTTTCGTATAAATAACATTAACACTCGACAAGCGTGGCACTCAAACAAAAAGCAAAGCACGGCTCGTGACTTCATCGTAAAAATATTTATTTATACGTATACTGTGATTTTCATAGTACCTATCTCTTTAAAAAAATGAGAAACTTTGTCTTTTATGCCATCGTTATCATCCCTCTTGCCATTTATTGCCCGCATCTATAATATAGACCTCCACCATAAACTGCTACAAGATACGAAGAATCCACTGCCACTCTGCGAATTTATTATACGCATAACAGAATTTATGTTATGTTTAATTCTGAAATTGTACACAACTTATTATATGTAAGCTATATTTCAAATAAAGTAATTTGTGCAGTACATAAGTAAGCAATATAGTGCACCATGTTGATGAATGGGATAAAAATTCAAATCCACCAAAGCTTCCCATAAACATAAGTTAATCAAATATCAATATAGCGGGTCCATGCCCTTTCGTTACTGCAAAAAACATCACGTCTCACAGTAAAATATTATAAGCCTGTATTGAAAAACGACGCCATGTTCGTTATGTACGTGTGGCAATGTACGATGAATGTTATGTGTGCACATACATACAGACGTCGTTTAATCTTGTGTATAATATGGAATATTGATGTAAATATTTCGCTATAAGGTATAGTATAGTATAAGAACTTTCAACTGTATGGATATTTAAAAATGTATATATCTTCAAAAGTTACATTGAATCAATGTTTTGTTGAATTATTTACAAGTATTTTTTTAAAGAACAATTGTCACAAATATTTTTATAACTACACCAGCGAATAAATATTTGCATTTTATAGGACTTATTTTTATTTACACGTGTGTCAACATATTTTTTTTTATTTTTTATGTTTTATTTTTAGTATTCTTTATCGACTCTTAAATTATTTCAAAGGATGTGAAAGTGGCCTTATTCTAAGACATGTAATATATATTGTATAGTAGAAGCACTCAATTTAAATTAGTAAATCCTCTGTCCATAATAGACGTAATAAATTTGGTATTTATTCCAAAATTTATTTGTATTTCGTACACTGTATCAAATGTATGGCAATTAAGTAATTAAGTTAATTTTCTATAAGGATCTCGTATAGATAGAATAATATTGGTTATTTAACATCTACATAATATAAGATAAATAATATAATGATTTGAAATTGTTTGTTTGCAATGATTTGATAACATTTATAATAATAATAATAATATTAAACCTAGTTCAATAAGAATTATCATGACAGCCATGTCATCTAATCTTTAGGAAGTTAAGAAATTTCACAACAATATTTTAGGTAACTGAATCATGATGAAAGACATTCACAAATATTTGTATTAATAAGTATGATTGTTTGTATCGGTATTCGTGTTTTCTATGTATATATCATGTATGTATTTGTAAAACAAATATTTATATTAGTAGTCTAGTGCCCATAACATAAGCTGCTTAAAATAGAACTAGATGGCGCTGACTTAATTGTCCCAGGGTTATTTATTTATGAAACGAGTACGGCTCAGTGAATAAATGTCATAAAATATATATTTAAAATAATTATATATACATACTTATATATTTATTAT